ACCCTGGCATGAGCCCTGACTGGGAATCAAACCATGACCTCCTGGTTCATAGGTTGATACTCAACCACTGAGCCACACCAGCCGGGCAGTTTCCTTTTTTTTTTTTTAATTTGTCAAGACTTTTACTGAAAGTACTTTGTGTTGTTAGAGTTCATACTACTTTGAGTAAACAGTCAATAGTGTTATTTACAATTATTGTTGCTAATCTTATTTTATTATTACCATTACCCAATAATAGAGATGATTCTGGAAGCATATGAGATAAGAGGAAAATCAATAGACATATATTTATCATAGATTGTCTGATAGTTACAGCATCTGGCCTCTGTTGGTTAGTTCTGTGTGATGGTTGCCATTTTCAGTGATGTGTCCACTGCAGGTGGAAGCCCTCCTCGCTGTCACCTGGCATTAATGTGCTTGCATGTTTTCAGGGATCCTGTCCATAGAGCAGCTCATCAGCCGAGTGGGTGTGATCGGTGTGACTCTCATGGCTCTTCTCTCAGGATTCGGTGCTGTCAACTGCCCGTACACGTACATGTCCTACTTCCTCAGGTAATGAGAACTCTGTCTCATTTCTTTTCCCCTTCACTTCCTGAACACAAATGTCATCTCATGCCACCATCATTAACACTTAAATATTAGACCTATGCCACTGCCTTTTTATTCTTTCCTCTGTCCTTCTGGGCATTGACCTAGGAATCTTTCTAAATAAGTCTTATTACTTATATTGCTTGCCCTTATTTGTCCTACATTTATTTCTTTTAATGACAATTTCAATTTGACCCTCTCCACCCCTTACTCATCGCACCCCTTCTTAAAGGCACAGTGAACAGTAATGTGAGCTAATCCCAACAAATTAGTTCCTCCCAAAAGTGGAACAGACATGTGCCAAGTTAAAAATGTGCTCACATATGCATCATAAATATCACTGGCTGAAAGCTAAGAAAGACCGAGAACTAATTACCTTCCGTTGTCCTGAGACCCTGGAAGTATTAGCTATAGAAAATGACAACAAAAGCATTTTTGCTCATTTTCATTTCCTTAGAAAAAGACAGGTTCTTGAATTGCTGGGTAACAATTGAGGTGTATGTGTTTCTCCAGCTGCCTTGTGTTATGCCCAAGGACGGGACCCCAAAACATTGCTAGCAGTTTGTGCTTATTATAGGAATGTGACGGATGTAGACATCCTAGCCCTGGAACGGCGACTGCTCCAAACCATGGACATGATCATAAGCAAAAAGAAAAGGTAAGCTACCAGCACATTAAAAACTTGTACTCTTAGAATTTCTCAACAAGAAATTTTACTATGAATTGGTGCTAACAGGGAAATTCATCTTACTCATTTCCATTATAAGTTAAAGTATCATCAAAGACAGTGTCTAGTCCTGTGTGAAAGACAATTTTCAAGTACAGTCATATTTCCTGACTTTCGATCAATTCTCTTGAGATGAATTATTGGAATAACTTATATCTGAAGGTATTCTACACTGGATGTTCTAAAAGTCTATTATCCGGAATGTTTACAAACTGTTTCATGCCTGACTTCAACCTTTTCAACTTCCTTTCTCTTAACTACTTTAAAAAATTCTTCAGGTCTTCAGCTATTGTTATTGTTTTTATCATTTTAAAAGCATGTTTAAAATGTATGTTTTCAAAGTGGAATTTCTGGGTAAAAGCATAAGCTCTAGACTCAGACTGTCTGAATTGAATCCTTGGCCTACAACTCACAGTAACCTTAAACTAGTTACTTTATCTCCTTATGTCTTGTAAAATGGAAATAATAATAATGAACTGACATGTAAAGGTGTTAGAACAATGAGTCATAACTCATAGCTAAGGAAAACTATTGAACTTACTAATAATCTGCAGAATAATCACTTGGTTTTAATGCTTTGCCTTCATTTATTCATTCACATATTCATTCAACTAGTAATTATAGAAGGCCTAGTTTATTCCAGGCACTGTACTAAATGCTGAATAGTATGTAGAAATCCAGAGGTGAACAGGATACTCAGTCTCCACTTTCATGAAGCTTATTAGTCCACTGTCTTTATTCAAGTTATTATTGCCCATGTAACAATGGTGACAGAGGTTTTAAACTGCATGAGTGGTTTTGCATTTCATGTTCCTTCCTTCAACACCTTTTTATAGTAAAACCCAAGGTCAAGTCAAAGAAGCCTTAATGTAAGAGATAACAATAGACATTTGAGTGATAGAGGCCCAGATTCACCAACCAGTTGCCTCCATTTCTATATATCTTTACTAGGATATTGAAAGCAGATACACATAGGCATACATTTATTTACTTAAATGTTTTGTTTTTATTTATTCTATACAGTTGATTTTACATGAATGAGTATGAATGCAGATTTTAAAAACATAATAATAAAAGCAACAGTATTCAATAGTAAGAGACACTTACATAGAAACAGTACTATTTTGATTCCTAAGAACCTTCTCCCTTTTACTATATTTCTTTTATTCATACCGAGATGAATGTAAAGTCATTGCCCATGTCAGGTGTGGATGTGTACTTGTGAGCTACCTGATCACTAGTCATGGTGAGTCGTTGGCTCTGATGTACCCCTACTGACCTTGTCTAAGGATCTGGGATGGTGTGTGGCCCTGCGATAGGTCTTATTGAGTGGCTCTCAGATGAATAAGTCTCCTAACTTGACCTAATTACCACAGCTATGTACCCAGTGCAGCCAGCAGGGCAGACAGACAGCTAGCATGGTAATACTAGGGCCCTGGGGCTTCCTACAATGCCCTTGTTATTTACCAAAATATAGAAAAACTGTTTCACAAACATAGACTGTCTTCCAATTTAACAGCAGAGGGCCATAGTGAGGTGACATACAAGAAAAATAATATGTTAGAAACAAAAAGCTGATGGTTGAAAACGGAGACAGGAAAAAGGTACACTGTCTTCTCACATGGAACACTGAATAGATGAGCTTTACAGTATTTAGGAACATTCATCAAAAACTAGTTCAGCCCTGACCGGTTTGGCTCAGTGGATAGAGTGTCAGCCTGCGGACTGAAGGGTCCCAGGTTCGATTCCGGTCAAGGGCATGTACCTTGGTTGCGGGCACATCCCCAGTGGGGAGTGTGCAGGAGGCAGCTGATCGATGTTTCTCTCTCATCGGTGTTTCTAACTCTCTATCCCTCTCCCTTCCTCTCTGTAAAAAATCAATAAAACATATTAAAAAAACAAAACAAAAAAAACTAGTTCAGCCTTGAGCAGTGGTTAGAGCATCGACCCACCAAAGGGTCATGGGTTCGATTCTCAGTCAAGGGCACATACCTCGGTTGCACATTCAATCCCTGGCCCCAGTCAGGGTGTGAGTGGGAGGCAACCAATCGATGAGTCTCTCTCACATTGATGTCTGTCTGTCTCTCTCTCTCTCTCTCTCTCTCTCTCTCTCTCTCTCTCTTTCTCTCTCTCTCTTCCTTCCTGTCTCTCTTTAGTGTGACCATACTGGTATAGTGATCAAGCCTTTCAGCTTCCTTCTGCTTGAGAGAATTAGTGATTTGTTTTGCTTTGTCCTTCTGTTGACTTAGATATTAAAGCTTTTGTATTGGTAACCTATGATATAGCTGAAATATAGTCTCTATTCACAAACAATAATAGTACAATTTTGAAATTATGGTTTTGTAGAAGATAGAAAATAAAGCTGTACAACTACACCATGGTATAATTGAAAGAACTTGAACTAAATCACATTCCTATTAACTTGTTAAGTGGTCTCGAGCAAATACTCATTTGTACAATGCCAGGGCTGACTAAAGGGTCAGTAGGGTCCCTTTCTACCCACAAATTCTGAATTCACAGTATTTCACATAGCTTGTGACATACAAAAGAAACTAGAAACTATATCATGTAAAAGTTAGAGACAAGCTATTATTATGGAAGAAAAATCTTAACCTCTATCCTTGATATTTTAGTCTCTCTTTTGAAAATGTGTAGTGATAGGGAAAAGATACATATTCACCTATGGAATGTCAACACCAGCCACAGCTGCTGTCAGACCATAGCAGAGGAGCCCGGCCGGCGTGGCTCAGTGGTTGAGCATCCACCTATGAACCAGGAGGTCACAGTTCGATTCCCAGTCAGGGCACATGCCCAGGTTGCAGGCTCAACCCCAGTGTGGGGCCCACCGGAGGCAGCTGATCAATGATGTTTCTGTCTCTTTCTCCCTCTCTCTTCCTCTCTGAAATCAATAAAAATAAATAAAATTTTTAAAAACCATCATAGAGCCCTAACTGGTTTGGCTCAGTGGATAGAGCGTCGGCCTGCGGACCGAAGGGTCCCAGATTCGATTCAGGTCAAGGGCATGTACCTTGGTTGCGGGCACATCCCCAGTAAGGGGTGTGTAGGAGGCAGCTGATCGATGTTTCTCTCTCATCGATGCTTCTAACTCTCTATCCCTCTCCCTTCCTCTCTATAAAAAAATCAATAAAATATATTAAGAAATAAATTTTAAAAAATTAAAAAAAAAAACATCATAGAGGAAATTTCCAGGAATGGCACTATATAAAGATTTCAAACAATTCCTTCAATAGAAAGTCATAAAAATTGTTAAAAACAAATATTTGAAAGCCCTGGAAAATAAACAGACAGGCAGAAATTTGAGAAGGGTATCAGGTAACTGCCTGTGTGTGGCTGATTTGCCCAGGGGTGCTCTTCAGCCCCACCCACCCTCCCAGCATTCACTCACGTGTACAGATTGATAGAGTTCAAATCAGCAAAGGTACTGGGAATTTAAAAGGAAATTTTTAGAAGCAAGAGAAATGCAGAAGGATAAGATCTAGAATCTACGTATAAACTCTGCCTCATCATTAAAAAATATATATGCAAAGTAAACACCAGACAGCCCAAGAAAACACTAGAAGGGGTCTTCCCTTGACACAGATTTGCCGATCCACAAAGGTTACATGTGTATGATTCTACTTGTATAACATTTTTGAAATGACAGAATGGAAATGGAAAACAGAGTCGTGGTTGCCAGGGTTTAAGAGGGGCTGGAGGTGGGAGAGGGGAAGTGGGCTGTACAGGGGCAGCATATGTGATCCTTGTCGTCATGGAGATGTTCTGATCCTTGACTGCATCAGTGTCAATAGCCTGGTTGTAATACTGTACTTTAAATTTGCAAGATGTTTCCATTGGGGAAAGCATGGGATCTATCTATATTATTTTACAACCACATGTGAATCTATAATTTTCTCAAAATAAGACGTTTAATTACAAAAGAAAAGTATGCCCTGTCCGGTGTGGCTCAGTTGGTTGAGCATCATCCCATGCACTGAAAGGTTACAGGTCCCATTCCCAGTCAGGGCACATGCCCAGATTGTGGGTTCAATCCCAGGTTGGGGTGTGGGGGGGGACCCAATTGTATATATATTGCCCCGCTGGCAAGTGGACATCCCGGGCTGCCAGAGGGATGTCTGACTGCCACCTTAGGCCCGATCCCCCAGGGAGTGATCCCCCAAGGGGTCCAAGACTGCGAGAGGGCACAGGTTGGGCTGAGGGACCCCCCCAAGTGCACAAATTTTTGTGCACCGGGCCTCTAGAGTGTGTGTGTGTGTGTGTGTGTGTGTATTTTTTAATTTTATTAAAATACAAAGAAAGGGAGGGAGGGAGGGTGAAAGAAAAGTAGCCTGGCCAGGTGAGGGTGGCTTAGTTGTTTGTACACCAGAAAGGTTGCAAGTTTGGTTCCTAGTCAGGGCACATACCTAGGTTTCAGGTTCAATCCCCTGTTGGGTGTATACAGGAGGCAACCAGTTGATGTTTCTCTCTCACATCTGTTTCTCTCTCTTTCCTCCCTCTCCCTCTCTCTCCTCTCTGTAAAATCAATAAACATATCCTCACGTAAGGGTTTAATAATAAATTTTAAAAAGAAAAAGAAAAGCAATTGCTGACTTCCCACCAGAAATGGAGACCAGAGAACAGTATGGTAGCATATTTAAACCACAGGAAACATTTTCAGCCTCTTCACTTTAAGACAACCACCAGACTGCAGCCCAGAGCTTATGTTTCTCCAGATTGTGGGTTTTTGAAAGGCATTCGGCTAATAATAGATATATTCTTGCTCCGGACCTGCCCCCGTTATAGAGAGACAATAGTGATGATGATCATGGTGGTGGTGGTGATGCCAGTGAAGAAAAGTTCAAGGTCAAAGTCAGCAGCGTCTATAGTACCTCATATTGGTTTTTATTCCTTTTACCACATCTCAGGGAGTTTGTTGTTCCTTTTTCTTTTTTGAATATATTAATATTTATTTTTTATATGCAACGTATTTGATAAAAGGAAAATCGGTTTAGAGGCAAATGATAAAAGTGAAAGTGAATTGTTGAGAACAAGGCCATGCTTGTCAGGGTGCAGCCAGCTCTCACTTCTAGGTCCTGCCTCTGCCTGTGGTGAGGCCCCAGTGCAGGGTCAGTCCCCCTGGCAGCGTCAGCCAGTCCCACTCACAGCCAGGCACTATGTTGTGCTGTAAACACTGGGACTAAGGAAACTAGAAATGGCTCTGTGCGCCCGCCCTCCCACTGCCTCTCCCTCAGTCCAGCATGGTAAGCTGCAGTCACTTTCAAGTGGGTGAGACAGACCTTCTTCCTTATGAACATCCTTGCTCCAGCTTTTCCACCTATGAAAATGGGGAAACTATGGGTGATGAGTCTTGTCAAGTCAGAATCTCCCCAGGTCTGAGCCGCTTCTTGGTCATTAATTACACCTCCCAGCAATGCTGAGTTACAGTGGGTGTGTGTGTAATTAGGGAAAAGGCAGGAGGAGCCAAGTTGGAGCTATAGTCCATTCCAGGCAAAGGTCATTTTGAAGAATAGCTAAGTCAACGTGGCCAACACACCTCATGTTCTTTATTGTTAATGCCATTTTAACCAATAGCTTAAAAAATGTAGCCCATAGAACTACCGTTTGGTATTTGGTCCCATTGGTACATTTGCATAAATACCAACACTGCTGCTTCCTCCGCTGCACTTCTGTCTCTTGTCACCCAAAAATTGTTCTGAGTTAAATGTTTCTTTAGTTCTGCTACCTATTTGTATCAGACTCATGCTGGTTTATTTTAGGCCGGTAGGCTTTGACCCATTTATATATAAATGATCTTAGTTTTCCTCACAAAGACTGTTTTTTATTGCTGTTTTTAAATATATTTTATTTCAGAGAGGAAGGGAGAGAAAGACAGAAACATCAATAAGAGAATCCTTGATGGGCTGCCTTCTGCATGCCCCCTACTGGGGATCGAGCCCACAACCCAGGGCATGTGCCCTTGATGGGAATCAAACCCAGGACCCTTCAGTCCGCAGGCCAAGGCTCTATCCACTGAGTCAAACCGGCTATGACCAAAGACCCTGTTCTTAATACCTATGTGGTGGGCTGGAACATGCCAGCAGCTCCCGCTGAGGCAGTGGGCTCGCTAGAGATCTGGAGGGCAAGAGGAAGGCAGAGTAAGTTTCCTGTTAACTGATTCAGCAGTGGGAGGAGATTGGAGTTAGAGGGAGAGTGATGATGTTTAGAAGAGTCCAGGTTTGTGTGGTAGTGCTGGTTTTTTCTTTTTTTGTCTGCTTTTGGAAAGAAACATTTATTGCGTTCCTAGCCTGTGCGTGGCCCTGGTCCTTTAGTTAGGTGTGTTAGCTGTTGTTCTCTTTTGGCCTGAAATGATAACAGTAATAATATTAATATGTGTACAACTTTGTAGTTGACCACATGAATTCATACATATTATTTCATTGGTCTTCACAACCGTCCATAGATGAGGAAATGAAAACTCTAAGGTCGCTCAGCGTCTGAATGGCAGACCAGTCCTCACATGTGTTACCTACTCCCCCTCCGTGGTCCTCACCCAGGCACCTCGCCCGGGGTGCGCAGTCTCCCCTCAGCCGCAAGGTGGGGAAACGGGGCTCCCGAGTGCCTCCCTCCCTGAGCACCTCAGCAGATGCAGAGGCGGGTCTGAGCCTAGGTGGGTGGGAATGACTATGAGGGTTTATGCTTCCTTGCCGAGCTGTTTGTTGTTTGTTTGTTATTTGGGGATTTTGTTTGTTTTTCATTTCAGGATGGCAATGACCCGGAGAACCATGTTCCAGAAGGGGGAGGTGCATAACAAGCCGTCGGGATTCTGGGGGATGATAAAGAGCATTACCACGTCAGCTCCAGGAAGTGAGAGTATCCTCCATCCCGCCGCTTGATCCTTTTTCCCAATTACATTTGACACTCAGCATTATGGTAGTCCCAGGTGTGCAGCATAGCGATCAGACACGTACCTGTGTAACTTACAAAAATGGCGCCATGCATTCTTTTTCTCAACTCCGGACCAAGGGCAAGAGGAAGAAGTAGTTTTGGGATAGTCTCTCCCAAGGCAGCTGACTGCATCCCGGGTCCAGCTGGCCAGGTACAGAGTCATCTTTCCAACACCCACAGATGATCATCACATCATGGGCTGAAGGGTCCTAACAAGTGAGTCTTTCCACTTTACAGATGAGGAAGTAGACCAGAGGAAGTTGTCACGCAGTGGTTTGTGGCAAAGACAGAGCAGAACTGTGGTCTCCCTCTCGGCTCTTTCCGCTGCACTGCCACTTTCCCAGCTCTGAGCAATGACGACGGAACGGAACGGCTCCCTAAGGGGGTGGTTTGTGTATAAGACCAGAGGGGCCCGTTTCTTAGCCAATCAGTTTCCTGAACAACTTTTAAGCAGCTCTGTATCTCCAGTGACTTTTTGGTTTAAAAATCAAGGAGTTTGGGTTAATGGATTATTCTTGGCCCTGCTAGTTACAGTGTTAAACTAATTCCCAAAATGAGTGACTAAATCTTGTGAGTCTCAGGCTTTTAGGTCAAAACTTTGGGGACCCAGGACTGAGGTGGCATAATCCTGCCTCTGCCTGGGGAAGCACAAGTTCCCTTTTGCTTCAACTGGAGGGAAAGGATGAGGCCTGTTCTTGTTATAAATTACTAAATGTCTTTCTGGAGTCAAATGCAGGTAAGACGTAGACCAGAGAAAGGTAGGGTGATGAGAGGAGAGGGGAAGAGAGGATTACTTTAAATCCATTTAATCAAGAAACAGTTATTTCACATCTCCTGAAATGACGAGCGGATACCGCCTCCCTCAAGGAGCTTATGCCTAATCATGAGAGGAGCGGGCGCGTTAACTAGTTAAACTATTGTTTGTTGGCTGCATAGTGCCAACAGCAGCCACAGCTGAGGAAGGATCTGTAGGGCTGATCTGTGAAATCGGGAAAATCACAGAGGAAGGAAGATGTAGATTAAAGTCTATGCTGTGTCAGAAGGGCCGTCTTTACTATTCTCATTACATAAAAACCCATAAAAGCAGAAGTTGAGGATGAAGCTGTCTTAGTGACAGGAAGTCAACTCAACAAAAGCATCAGGATTCTCTAACTTCTCTGAGCCCGTTTCCTAACTGGAGAGAGGAATAGCACGGCCTCGCTGATCTGGGAAGTGGCATAGTGTCATGGGAAGAGCAGGCCTGGAGTGGACGGATCTGACTTTGCATCCACGCCTGTCAGCTGCGTGACTTGCAGCAAGTTACTTGCCTCTGAGCTTTACTTTCCTTGTCTGCAAAATGGATAATAACACCTATCTCATGTGACTGTTGTGAGAATAATAGAAGATCATGTCTCTAAAGAACGAAAGGAGGTCTATAAATCCTAGGCTGTATTAAAAGTTAGTAAAGATTAACTCAGCTAGTGTAGCTCAGTGGTTGAGCATCAACCCAGTGATCCTATTTCTAGGAATATATCCTAAGAAACCCAAAACACCGATCAGAAAGAATGTCTGCACCCCTATATTTACTGAAGCATTGTTTACAATAGCTAAGATCTGGAAACAGCCCAAGTGCCCATCAGTAGATGAGTGGATAAAAAGCTGTGGTACATTTACACCATGGAGTACTATGCAGCTGTACAAAACGAATGAGCTCTTACCCTTTGAGACAGCATGGAGGGACCTGGAGAGTATTATGCTAAGTGAAATAAGCCAGTCAGAGAAAGACAAGTATCACATGATCTCACTCATATGTGGAATCTAATGAACAAAATAAACTGATGAACAAAATAGATCCAGAGGCATGAATGCATGGAACTGACTGACAGATTTCAGAGGGAAGGGGGTGGAGGGAGTCAGGAAGAGAATAACCAGAGAACTTGTATGCGTATGTGCACAGCCCATGGACAGGGACAGTAGTGGGGTGGAGCAGGGGTGGGGTGCAGGGAAGCAAGGGCGAGGGAGTGGGGGACTTCTGTAATAGTGACATAGCAGGAAATTGAAAATCTAGGCAGTTCCTAGAATCCACACTGTAGGAGAAACCAAAAACATGCTTTCTTCATGTCTGTTTCTTGAAACTTCTATGTGGTTTAAACCTTGATGCCCATTCTGTGCCAGATCTTACTCTAATTCAACAGGAAGTGGATGCTTTGGAAGAACTAAGCAGGCAGCTTTTTCTGGAAACAGCTGATCTACATGCTACCAAGGTACCGAGCAAGGGAATTGAAGTGTGCTCTTGTCAATGCGATTGACGTGAGAACAAGACTACATGGCTTTTTAGTGTCCTGTACAGCCAGTCAGTGCAAGAGACACTCCATAGCTTCAGTATTAGTCACGAAGCATCGGAGTCTGCACTCTCCGCGACATTGCTCCTCCCACTAGCAAAGCCCTTAATGGAATGCTCTCAATAAGAGAAAGCAGTGGGGTAGTCAAAAGAGGCTTTTCAGCCGCTGGGAAGGTGGCGCACACCACTCCCCCTGACCCAGGATCCCCATGGCCACTCCTGATTGCTCTTTATTCCCTTGCAAGTTAGTTACATTGTAAAAGCAAGAAGACACTTTGCGGCCATGACCTAGCCCCATTTTAAAGGTTCCAGAACAAGAAGTGAACTAAGGACAAGAAGTAACTTTTCTATTTACACCCAAAATGCAACACAATTTAAATATGCAAAAGTCTCTTCATTAAAGTTGTTGCAACTATTTTAATCCTTATTGAGGATCACTTCACAGGAGTAGCCCCATAGGATAGAGGTGAACAGAAGCCTCGAACACAGAGACCTGAGCCCAACTTCCCCTCCTCACTAGCTGGATGGCCTTGGGCACGTTATTTAACCTCAAGTTTCAGTTATGAAGTTATTTAACCTCTAAGCTTCAGTTATGAAAATTAAAGTAGATCATGCATGTAAGATGTTTGTCTCACTTTCTGGCTTAAAGTAGTAGTCAGTAAATGTTGCCACTACTATTGTTTTTTTAATATTATTATTACCATGTGTGGTTTTTTATTTAGCCTGAACAAGTAATGCATTTTTGTTATATATAAACTTACATTTTGCTGAGACTGACATGTTTTGTGTTTGTTTTCCCTCAGGAGAGAATAGAATACTCCAAAACTTTCAAGGGGAAATATTTTAATTTTCTGGGTTACTTTTTCTCTATTTACTGTGTTTGGAAAATTTTCATGGTAAGTATATTATTTTCACCTGTCAGAGTTCAGGTGCTCTTCCCTGGTAATGGCAGAAAGAGGAAAGTGGGTTTGATGGAGGCATGGAACTAAATTCCAGCCTGATTTTCAAATCCGGTTGAGTCAACAGAGAAGGCGGTCTTTCGCATATTTGAGCTTCTCTTTTCCTTCTCCTTTTTAGCTCACCCCGAAAAGGGAGGTTGCATTTTTCTTGTGTCAGAAATCAATAAGGTCTTAGATTATGAAGTGTATGAAGCAAACGTAGAAGTTTCTTACTTTCCACTCTGCTTTCCACATTACCCATGAGAATGTGACTGTAATTCAACTCCTAGCTGCAGCTCAGAGCAGAAACCCCTGTCCTTTAAATAATGTGTGTACCTAAACACTCAGGCCAAAGCAAATTCTAAAGTGTGCTTCTGTAGATAAATCCAGCCTGTGTGTCTGTAGGTCTTACTCTGGTGCGGCTCTCTCCCAATGTGTATTCTGTATGGGCAGTTTATGTGCATTACTCGTCTTCACCTGTGGCTCACCTGCAGGTATTAATGGGTTTCAGTGCGAGTATAGAAAAGGCTGATTTGAGTTTCTGGTTTGGTAACCTTCCCACTGGCACTGTATTTGCACAGAGGAGCTTGTTAGTTCATTTTGATCAGTGTAGATGAAAGGAAGATTCTGGATTTAACGGATCTAATGTTAAAATAATTGGATGTCAGTGCCTATTCAGATGACTTTTTAAAATTTATTTTTATTGATTTTAGAACAGAAAGGAGAGAGAGAGAGAGAGAGAGAGAGAGAGAGAGAGAAACATCAATGATGAGAGAGAATCATTGATCTGCTGCCTCCTGCACGCCCCACACTGGGTATCAAGCCAGGAACCCAGGCCTGTGCCCTGACTGGGAATTGAACCGTAGCCTCGTGGTTCATAGTTCTACACTCAACCACTGAGCCACACCGGTTGGACTCAGATGCCATTTTAAAATCTTGATTCATTCAGTGGGAAAGGACAGTGAAGATAGTGTCCAATTAGCTAGGCTACTGAAAGCTTTTTCCTGAGATGCAGCCTTTAGGGGAGCATATCATATTTTCTTTCTATTACATTTGACATTCAATATTATGTTAGTTTCAGGTGTGAAGGTAATAGTTATACATTTATACAATTTATAAAGTAATCCTTGGGAAGTCCAGTACCCACCTGGCACCATACATAGTTGCCACAATATTAGTGACTATATTCCCTGTGCTGTACTTCACATCCTCATGGCTGTAACTGCCAATTTGTCCTTAATCCTTCCCCTTTTTAACTCAGCCCCCCAATCCCTCTCTCAAGTGGGAACATATTTTTTAACAGTTTTATTGAGATATAATTGACATTCACTAACTGCACATATTTAAAGTGTACAGTTTGGTACATTTTAACAAATGTACGCCTATGCAGCAGCCATCACCACAGTCAAGATAGGGAACATATCCACCTACCACTGCCAGAAGTTTCCTTGTACCCCTTCGTGATGCCCCTCTCCCACACCCCATCTCCAGGCATCCCCACCTGCTGTCATTCTACACTGGTTTATCTTTTCTAGAACTTTCTATAAATGGAGTCTTATAGTATGTACACTTTTTCTGTCTGGCTTCTTTTACTCAGCATAATTATTTTAAGTTCCATCCACGTTATTGTGTGCATCGATAGTTTATTCCTTGTTATTGCTGAGTTGTATTCCATAGTATAGGTATACCACAATTTGGTTCTCTCCTCTCCTGCTGGTGGAGATCTGTTTGTTTCCAGTTTGGGGATATTATAAATAAAACTGCTGTGAATATCTGTGTAGGAGTCTTCTCTCTTGGGAGAAAACAGCTGGGTCATATGGCAGATGTATGTTTAGCTTTTGAAGAAACGGCCAAACTTGAACCATTTACATTCCCACCTGCAGTGTATGAGAGTTTCATTTACCCCACATCCTCACCAGCACCTCAGATGGTCAGTCCTTTTAACTTTGGACATTCTCATACAGCGGTCGCCAACCTTTCGGACCTCACCGGTTGGCGACCGCTGTTCTAATAGATATGAGATGGTATTTAATACACATTCCCTAATGCCTAATTAGGTTGAACAACTTTTCATGTGCTTATTTGCCACCTGTTCATGTTCTTTGATGATATATCTATTCAAATTTTTGCCAGTTTTAAAATGTTTGTTTTCTTATAGTTCTATCAGTTTTTGCTTCAAGTATTTTAAAGCTCTGTTATTAGGTACATACACATTTTAGAGTCATTATGAACCCTGAGTCAATGCCAAGAAGAATCACTGCAGTATTGTAGGCAAAAGGTGGCCCAACAAAGTACTGATGGGGTGGTCATAATAATCTGGCCACTCAGTGTATATATTTTTCAATTCTTTTCCTTTTAACCTATTTGCACTTTATATTTAAAGTGGATTTCTTATAAGCAACATTGAGTTGGGTTTCGCTTTTTTATCCAGTCTGACCATCTCTGCCATTTACTTGGCACATTTAGACCAGCAGTCGGCCATCTGTAGCCCACAGGTGAAATCCAGCCACCACCTGCTTTTGTAAATAAAGTTTTATTGAAACACAGCCAAGCCTATTTGTCTAATATCATCTGTAGCTACTCTCATACTACAGCTACAGCATTTGCCAACCCCTGGTTTTGAGCATTTACATTTAATGTGGTTATTCATATGGTTTGCTTTAAAGCAACCATAATACTGCATGTGTTTTATTTGTCTCAACTGTTTTCTGCCCTTTTTCCTTTTTTTCTGCCTTCTTTTGGATTGACTTTTTTCATTATTCCATTTGCTCTGCTTTGTTGGCTTGTTAGCTTTAACTGTCTTTTTATTTTAGTGGTTGCTTTTGGAGCACTCAGGAAATAACCACAGGGAGTGATCCTGGAGTTCCTTTATCCTCCTACCCTGGCTTCATCTCCCAGATGTTACTTTCTGGCTCTGATAAATTCAGAAGTATATGCCATAGCCTATTCCCCTGTCCTCTTTACAGAAAAGATAGGGACTTTTGTTTGTCTTTATGTGGATAGCCAAAATAGATTTCTTATATCTGATTTAGATTGAGAGTCCAATTTCATTCTTAGGAACATCCAGCAGTGAGATTTGTTGTGGTGATTAATTCATTATTTTGAGTCACCTTTTTGAAACAGTAGGTGATTACTGAAATGCCCTAATGTAAAGCTGTGTGTCTTTGCAGGCGACCATTAATATAGTTTTTGACAGAGTGGGGAAGACTGATCCTGTCACAAGAGGCATTGAGATCACTGTGAATTATCTGGGAATCCAATTTGATGTAAGTGTTGTATCAAGATCCTGGTTTGTTGTTTCTTTCTCTTTTATCTGCTGTATGTTATCATTAAGATTCGAATTCCTTCCTACTTGATTCTGCTTTTGTTCTTCCTCCTCTCCTGTGTATGTTTTGACATGTTCATGTGCAGATTTGTAAAAGGCATAAAACATAAGTAATGACTGGGACTTACTGTTGTTGTGGGTGCGGGTTATGTCTAGTTCCGCCTCTGTGCCTCTGCTCCTCTGTAGCCAGCTACCACTCACCACTTTCTCCCCACCAAATACTCAGATACGCCTCTCAGTGAGATCTTCAAACACACAGCTCACCTTTGATTCCTCTGGTGGAATATTAACTACTAACTAGTGTTCTGTGTTAGAACTGAGATGATTTATACTGTAAAAAATTATCTTGATCAATTAATTAATGTGGACTGTGAGCTAAAGATGGTAACTGTAACCTGTGTACCAATTTTTTTTTCATCTTTCTACCCGTTTTAGAATACCACCGTCATTGAATGCACTCTTGTCCTAATTTAAATGTAACATCCTCATTTGTAGACTAGTATATTTTCTAGGTATGTAGATGGCCAGTGATTCTGGCTGATCATAAGACCAGTGTTATGTGCCTATCCCTTGAGGGCCTATTAGCTGTGCTGATTCTCACCATAGATGGCATGCTGCCCCAGCAGCCATCCCAGCTGGACACGCCCCTGGTGGCTGGATAATATAAAACGAACCAGAGCACATTGAGCTCCAGTCCTTAAGAACAGCTTAGAGCACATTTTTAAAAAATTGTTGATTGATTGATTTTAGAGAGTGAAGAAGGGAGGAGGGGCATCAGTTTGCTGTCCACTTATTTGTGCATTCATTGGTTGATTCTTGTATGTGCCCTGACCAGGGATTGAACCTGCAACCTTGGCTCATTGGGATAATGTTCTAACCAACTGAGCTACCCAGCCAGGGCCAGAACACACATTTTGATAGACCAATAGTGTATCCTTTTTCCTATGAAGGAGCGTGTCTCTTTCCTTCAAGAATTACATAACTGATGCTGTGAAGTATGCTTCACTGGGGTAGCATATGTGTTCTCCTCTTTTAAATTTCTTACTGGGCTGAATTTTTAGAAATGCTCTTATCAGTCTTCCCGAGGCTGTTCAGTTGCTGGTGTGTATCTACATTCACCTGTAATTCACCTGCACACTCACACTTCACAATTCCGAATGACACCTGGTAGGGGCAGTAAGAGCAGCTCCCCCTGAATCATGCGTAGGGTCCTAAGCTGCCTCTCACTGGGAAACAGTCCAAGAGGAGAGAAATGTGTCATGTGATTCAGATGAAAGTCGACTATTTCCTAGACCATAGCCGAGAAGGTCTGTAATTCTTTTATTAAGAAAGAAAAGTTCCTTAACGTTTTGGGTGATCCGAGAACTAGCATTCACAGATCATAAAAGCAATCAAGCTGCTGTTTTGTTTCCTTTAGTCTGTGCTTTTCACTTTTCACATTGAAGCTATACATTAGGCTGGTGTTTCTTCTGATTTATTCATGTTGTTTTCATCACTTCACTGCACCTGGCTTTCTTCTGTCCTTACATCTTGATTCCGTCTGCTCATGAAGATGCCACGGCTGTCTTCTTCTTCCTGGAGGTGTTTTCCTTGCCACTGCTCTCTTCCCCACTTTTTTTTAATCAGATAGGGCCTCATGACGCTCCCTCTCACAGTCACATAAGCCATCGGTGCATCTTCTTTTTGGTTTGTTTTTGTTAATCCTCACCAGAGGATTTTTTCCCATTGATTTTTTTTTTTTTTTTTTTTTAGAGAGAGAGAGTGGAAGGGAGGACAGGGGAGGGGAGGTGGCAGAGAGAGAGAGAAAGAGGGGGAGAGAGACAGACAGACAGACAAACAGACATCAATGTGAGAGACACGTGGATTGGTTGCCTCCTGCACGTGCCCCAATCTGGGCTGAGGATCAACCTGCAACCCAGGTATATGCCCTTGACCAGGAATTGAATCTGCGACCCTTTGGTGCATGGGTCAGTGCTCTAACCACTGCTCAGTGCTCTAACCACCAGCCAGGGCTAGAATGCATCTTTTTAATCTTCACATCTCTCTAAACAAAGATTTAACAGATTTATTCTTTCTGTTTGGTGGCAGGTGAAGTTCTGGTCCCAACACATTTCCTTCATTCTGGTTGGAATAATCATTGTCACATCTATCAGAGGACTGCTGATCACTCTTACCAAGGTATGTTCTATCACAGAGTCAAAACAAGTAATTATTCCTTAATTACAGGTGGCACCGTGAGATCATTTTACCTATTTAAGATTTCTGTCTTCTGAAATCTTAACAGTCACAAATATTTAAAAGACAACAACAGCCCTGGTCCACGTGGTTCAGTTGGTTGGAGCGTTGTCCTGTGCACCAAAAGTCACTGGTTCAATTCCATCAGGGCACATGCCCAGGTTTTAGGCTCAATCACTGGTAAGGGTGCGTTGGGGAGGCAACCAATCAATGTTTCTCTCTTGCTCACTCACGCTCTCTCTCTCTCCTTCTCCCTTTCTCTCTAAAAAAAATCAATAAAAAACATATTAAAATAATAAATAAAAGACATACAACAGAATTTTTAAGAAGTTAAACTGATACATGGATTGATGATGATGGACTTACATCATATAATCAGATAACTACATTTACCAAAGGTCATAGAATGAGACCACGGTCTGTTTTGTTGGCTGATATGTCAGCAGCATCTAGAACAGCACCTGGCACGTGGTACGTGTTCGGCAGATAGTTGGAATGAATGAATGAGATGGGGGTTTGAGGTTAGAAGAATAACTGAGAGTCGCCTGTAAGGAGGATGTGGATGGAGGTAGGAGAAGCAGAATGTTCAACTGTGTTCTGATCAGCATCGAAGGTAAATCCTCTGGTAAGAGGTAGGGACTTCAGACCCAGCTGTTGGAATGAAAGGAGAGAAGAGGCGGAGAAAGGAGCGGAGACAGGGTCTCCAGGCATCTCGTACAATTCTGAAAAGAGCTCTGAGCCCGGGAACAATGACAAGGGCCTGGGGTGACCTGTTTTGATGTTAAAGTCAGGTGATCACACAGCCTCTTAAAAGTTTGTTAGCCATTGTAATCCTTTTGTGTTCAATGTCGTACTTAAACCCACCAACCAAGTCCTTTTCACTCCAAGTCTCTTCTTTACAGCCCTAATCATACAAATTGTTCTGTACAGGATTAAGGCAGGGGAGTGACACCTTTAACTGTCAGCCAGGCTCCTTACTGTCCTGGACACAGGACACAGCGGTGCTGCATAAACTCCTCTCTCCCCTTTCTCGACAGTTCTTTTACGCCATCTCTAGCAGCAAGTCCTCCAACGTCATCGTCCTGCTGTTGGCACAGATAATGGTGAGTTGTAAAAACCAGCTTCATCTTTGCACCTGTAAAGTACCAGACATGTCTTATACTTTTAAATATTCAACCACGGCCTTTGACCCGTCCCTCACTACACGCAAAGTGACGTGTGGACTGGCATGTTTGACTTCCAGGGCATGTACTTCGTCTCCTCGGTGCTGCTGATCCGCATGAGCATGCCCCTGGAGTACCGCACCATCATCACCGAAGTCCTCGGGGAGCTGCAGTTCAACTTCTACCACCGCTGGTTCGACGTGATCTTCCTGGTCAGCGCGCTCTCCAGCATCCTGTTCCTCTACCTGGCTCACAAGCAGGCACCAGAGAAGCATATGACCCCTTGAACTCACGGCTGTTGCAGACTGCGAACAGGCCAGTGGTGTCCGCATTTAGATAGAACAAGGGAAAATGGAGGGGACCGGGGCCTAGAATTTTTTATACAAACAAGATGCTGCGGTAGCCTGTTCCACCTGCAGCTATGCCTTCCTCTCAGACCATACAGTGACCGTGAGCCGCGCTGGCTGGAGCAGAGCCAGGTGACTGAAGCTGGTGCTCAGCCGGGAGGTTCCTGTGGGTTTAAGGCTGGTGCAGCGTTGTGGGGGGAGAAGGACACTGGAGTCCGGGGTAAGCGAGTCTGCGGTAGCGGGGCCACGCATGTGGGGTTTCTGCTGAAGTCGAGGTTCACACGGAGGAAGTTTTGGCTTCCCTGAGATTGACTGTCATTAAAATCCGAGATTGTAAGTCTGGCCTTAGCTTTATTTCATCAAGGACAGCTCCGTGTTTGCTTGTATGATCTCACATGAGTTAGCTTCCCCCTCCCCCCCAATCCTTACCCCATTAAAATAACCAAGAGCTTGTCTGTTCTTTCCTGGGGTAGGATGGGGTGCAACTGAAAGAGATTCCACCAAGAGAGATTTCAAGGGTGCCGTTTTTCCTGATTTCCTTTCACTTAGTATCATGTAAGAGTGAATTATTCTACATTCAATTAAGTAATGATGGCTCATATTTTCTTCCCTTCTGCCCCTCATACTGTGGGTAAAACAATGAATAACTAACTGGAATAGTCACTTTTTTCTGACTCAGTTTCTTCATCTATAAAAGGAAGATGTTGGAAAATTTGTAGAACACTCAGAAATGCCATTTAAGAAAAATCCTTAATTTTACTACCAGGAAGTCTCTATTACTAAGGTCTTATTCTGAATTTTATTTTGTTTTTGGTTCCTAGAGGCAAAACAAAAATTAAAGCATAAAATGCTTACCAAAAACAAACACAATTCAGGTTAGATCAGCTAACAGGGAAGGTTCAAGCAACTCAAAAGACATTTTTAATGGCATTTATTTTAGTAACCACACATTCTTTAAAAAGCATAATTTTAATAGGCAAACTCATGTCCTTTAATTAGCAGCTTCACATTTACAGATTCATGAATCATCTTTGGTGCTCAAGGAGCCCATAGAAGTAAGAGATGTCATCATACAGAGAAATACAGTTACGTTGAAGCTTGGAAGAGATTACATGAAAAGAATCTGGTCCCGCCTTAGCTTCTCCTAAGTTGACCATAAATAAGCCGTCGGCAATAGGCACTCGAGACAAATGACAACAGAAAACAATTGCACGTGATGGGCCGGTTTCCAGAGCGTTTTTCACCAGAGACGGCAGGTGGGTGGCCGTTCATCCCTTGGAAAGGACTCCGATTAAATACCCAGAAACAGCGCTCAGCCACAGCCATTGTTCGTTCCCATCACATCCTGGTATCCTCAGAATTGGAAGAAGACTGCGAGGCTGTGCTGTGGGCCTGTGCAAGAGAAGGCGAAGGGTCTGTGAGTGCTGGAGCGTGGATGTAAGCCCGGGGGTAGGGTCGTGACTAGAAGCCAGGTGACCCGACTTCTACACTTGGCTTTGCTTTCAGCTTGCTGTCTGAAACCAATTTCCTTTCTATAACTGACTCCCTGCAGAGATGTTATAGAATTCTTGAAAGACAATGAGAATACTTTCTTGTTAAGAAATCTATAATATGGTCAGTGGCTATTATGTGTGCCTTGTCTGAATATTTGTCTCTCCCCCAAATGCATATGGTGAAATCCTTATCCCCAAGGTGATAGAATGGGAGGGTAGGGCCTGGGGGTGTGATGAAGTCAGGAGGGCAGAGCTGGGATTGTGCCCTTAAAAAAGAGGGCCCCAGGGCTCCCCAGCTCCTGCCACCCTGAAGGGGCAGAACAAGAAGTCCGGGTCTGCAAACCTCGGAGAGGCCTTCATGGGCACCAATCTGCCGGCACCTTGAACTTGGACTCCCCAGCCTCCAGAATTGTGAGAAATAAATGTTTGTTGTTTACAAAGCCACCCAGTGTATGGTATTTTGTTACAGTAGCCTAACCGGGCTACGACAGTGGGTGTTCCTTAAAAATTAGTATTTTTGTATTACCAGTCGGAAGAATTACATTAATGTAATGAAAGAAAAATAGTATTAAACTTTAAGTCTTGGCTTTGCCAAATGTTTCCTTTATGAACTTGGATAGGTCAGTTCACTCTTGGACCTCAAGTTCATCTATGAAAAGAAATTGGACAACAACAAAAACTGAGATTTACCAAGGAATTTATCTAAATACATACAGCATAGTGTTTGCTCTTCCCTAGTAATAAAACTTGAATACCTACCAGTTATTTTTAAAACAACTCTGTCTCTAACCACCACCATTCCTTTTACACTTACTGTGCACAGGGCACTAGCCGAACCACTTTAATAGTCTTAGTCAATATAATCCTGATAACAGTCCCACAAATTATCCTTGTTTTATAGGGGAGGATACCAAGGCACAGAGAGAGTAAATCCACTTGCCCATAGCAGAACCAGAATTTGTACATAAATAGTTAGATTCAAGTTCCATTCCCATTATAATTTTGATAAACTTATTTCTTGTCCACTCTGTGCTATGAAAAATAAGAAATTTGTTGTTCTTGTACTACATCCTGTCCCCTACAATAACTTGGTTTGTCAGTTACCTTTACATGACCTTTTTTAGTATTGTAGGAACTCTGTGGTAAACATGGACATGAGATGCACTTAGTTAAGGTCTTGACCATACACTGGTAAGTTAGATCATTAAAAGAAATGTGTTGCCCAGCTGGTGTGGCTCAGTGGTTGAGCATCGACCTATGAACCAGGAGGTCACGGTTCTATTTCCAGTCGGGGCACATGCCCGGATTGTGGGCTCGGTCCCCAGGGGGGCCTGCAGGAGGCAGCTGATCAATGATTCTCTCTGTCAGTGTTTCTGTCTCTCTCCCTCTCCTCTCCTCTCTGAAATCAATAAAAATATTTTTTTTTAAAGAAAAGAAATGTGTCACTACTCACTCGTTCTTTTGCCACGTGTGAGTCGAGCTCTGACTCCACCCATGTTTCTTCTTTGGAAACAAGGGGTACATCCAGTGGGTCAGCCATGGAGGAAACAATAGGGATTTTCTTTGCCTGGAAATAATCGTAGGCCTTCTTTCCACAGACTAAGAGCGTGACATTCTTCCCACTGCTCTGGATTCTGTCTATCACCTTCTCATAGAGTTCGTCCAGCACATTCACCCCGTTCACCTCAATGATGACGTCCTCATCCTCTAGCCCCGCCAGCTGGGCAGGGCTGCCCTCCTGCACCTGTGAACAGAGGGTCGGAGTTGTCACGTTCAGACACAGATAAGGGAAGTTAGCCTCGCTCCCTTCAGGGAGATGAGGAGATGAGGATTTATTCCTCACTGTGTTGTGACTTCTCCTTGAGGTACAGAAGTCGAGGACAATGCTCTAATGCTTTCTGCTTTGAAGGCTACAGCTTCTGTACTCCAATAAGTGGTGTTGCAGTGGTTGACTATTGTGTTATATGTCTTCTGGGTTAAAGGTATCAGACATCATAGGTCCCTTCTGCAGGCCCAACGTGAGAGCCCTAAGGGCAGTCCTGTTCCGCAGGCCCTACAGCGAGAGGCATCATGCCCGTGCACAGAAGCAAGCAAGCATCACCCCGTCAGTGCTGATGGTGACTCACCTACAGTCATGCCAGCTCTACTTGATTTGAAAGTGTCCACAGACGACTGAGTGTAACAGATGTTAAGAAATGAAGGCTGTGAGCTTAGGATGTACTAAGCTATCTTAAAGGGGCCGGGACCATGACAGCAATTATTTGAACCCAAGTGAGACACTCAACGCCGGCCATCAATGTACCCCTTTACTAAGCCATCAGTGAGTGGGAGAAGCCCGCCCTCCGGATGGTGGCTGCGGTCACTGGGCTGCGGGAACCGGGTTACCGTACCTCTTTGACAAATGGGCCTGGCTGACCCCGAATCGCATTTAAGTGGAAGCCGTAGCCATTGTCACCTTTAACCAGCCTGCACAGCTTTGGCTTATGATCGGGACTTGAGCTGGCCAGAGGCGCAGGAACCAGGGCCTCCTTGACAGAACCGTTAGGCAGTTGTTGACTTTGATAGTAGAGAAATGGAGAAAAATGAGCCTTGGGAAAATAAAGGGAAGAAGCATTAATTGTAAATATGAATAATTACACTATTAAATGTGCTGATTTCTTTTATAAGGTGCATACATGTTCCACTCTTCCACATACATGATTGTGGGCTGAAAATTTCTTGTTACTTCAACCAGGAAAGGGATGAAGGAAGACTGAGCTTTGTCATGGAGCAATGTGTATAAACATGTAAACAAATGCACATGTCTGTAAAATAAAGTGTTGTACAAGGATCCAAAAATAAGCCTAACGGTGATAGTAAGCAAACCACTCAACTGCCGAGGGTTAGCGACTTGCCCTCTATCTCATGCAAGTTAGGTCCCTCTGGCCTTCCCCTTCAGTAAGCACTTCAAAGCTCCTTAAACACGTAGAGAGAGTAATACAAGACCCTATATCGCATCCAAAGTACAGACAGTGAATTGACGGAGGCAGCAATCATATGGTCACATGGTTTCTCCCCCACTACCTCTCCAGCACTGTGATCTATTGTACTCTATTTTACTAGTTATTGTTGTAACGATTAGCTGACACCTCTTTATGCCAAGCTCCTCACTCACTCACTATCTTTATATATTCCTAATCCATTTCAACTCCCAGAACATCCATGCACAGAAGGCAGTGATCGTCTTCAATATAGAAGAGGCATTAAACAGGGAACATATGACTTTTTTTTTTCTTTTTTTTTTTTTTTTTACAGAAATAAGAGCTTAGCCCCATGGCCGGCAAACTGCGGCTCACGAGCCACATGCGGCTCTTTGGCCCCTTGAGTGTGGCTCTTCCTAAGTCTTAGGAGTAGCCTAATTAAGTTAATAACAATGTACCTACCTATATAGTTTAAGTTTAAAAAATTTGGCTCTCAAATTTCAATTGTACTGTTGATATTTGGCTCTGTTGACTAATGAGTTTGCTGACCACTGGTTAGCCCAGCCATTGTGGCTCAGTGTTTGAGTGTTGACCTATGAATCAGGAGGTCACAGTTCAATTCCCGGTCAGGGCACATGCTCAAGTTACAAGCCCGATCCCCAATGGGAGGCAGAGGGTGAGGGTGTGCAGGAGGCAGCCAATCAATGATTCTCATCATTGAAGTTTCTCCCTCCTCCTCCTCCTCCTCCTCCTCTCTGAAATCAATAAAAATATATTTAAAAAGAAGAAGAACTTAGCTGACTGGGTTTTAGTTGAGAGGATTAAAAGGCTAGATTTGGGTATACTGAGATCCTAGATCAGTAAATTGCTGCCCACAGGTGCCCAAGACATTTGTGAAGTGATGAGTGAAAAATGAAGCAATTGAAAGTGAGTACAAGTTGTGCTCTCCCCTAAGTCATCCTGTTCAGCAGCCTGGCTGAAATTAGATTGGAGGGCTCCGGTTACCATCTGTCTTACTAACCACAAGACCAGGGCTTCCTTTCTAAATGAGAGTACCTCATTTAGAACCTTTCAGTTACCCAGTTCAACTAACTCCAGACCTTTCAGCAATATGCTTGCAAATTTTCTACATTTCTGTCCCTCTTTAAAATGTGGGAAATTATCAGTAACTCCTTACATGCAAAAATACCTTTGACATCACTACCCAAACAAGCAAACCAGTGGCAGCTAATTCTAGGCAAAGTACAATAACATAAAACTGAGTTTTTATTCTCATTCAAATATTTGGGTATCTAGTATGTTACAGGAACTGATGAGGTGTTTGCTTTATTCACTGATATATCTCAAACATCCAGCCCATGCAACTCACTTTGGGGGGAAGAGGGAGGAAGAAGATGGGGACAGTTATCTTTATAGATCAAAGTTCTCTTTTTTAACCAAAACATTAAAATTATAGTTAACTCATTCTGTCATAAGATTAGAAGTTGGAAAGGATTCAATGCTAGAATCTGCTTTACAACAGCAAGAGCAGTGACCTTCTGACTTGACCTTTCCTACCAACTGGGACCACTGCAGAAATGGCTTATCCTGTTCCCAGCAGCTTCAGTTGTCCTAAGCCAAAAGCTCGCTCCCTACAGCGTCTCTATCTGATCAAGCTACATCCCCTAGAACACCTCAAAAATAAGTCTGCTGCTTGTATATAATGGCCTTTCAAATTATTCCAAGCTGTTTAATAGCCCTGTCTAGTCTTTTACATGGGGTGGTCTATAGCTTAAAATCCAATTGCTCCCTACTTAGGAGAGTTAAGGCTTCATCTGCCTATTTCCAGGCTACTGTTCATAGACTTTTTCTCAGATCACCAAGAGTAATTCTGGCAAATGTATGCAAATTCTTTCAAAATCTTGAGTCTAAGGACTTAAAACTTATGTACCCAATCACATGGCATTCTCTTACCACTGCCACTTTGAGCTTCAAAAGCAGCGTTAATATGGTCGTTGTACACTTTCCAGGTTGAAGATCAAAGTGGTCATTTAAACCCCCAAATAGAGACAATGACCCAGCCAGGTGAGATCAGCCAGACTCTCATCAGCTGACAATGAGTACCAACGCTGACACGATGGACTCACAAAGGGAGTAGCCAGGGTGGTAGAAACAAGCTATTCATGGGCCAAACAGCATTGGCTAAAAATAAGGTAACGTAGCCAGAGTTGGAGGGCATTAGTGAGTGGACCCAACCTTAATGCATGAATACAGGACCTTGTATTACTTACCAGCCTGTATATGCTGTCCGTCTCTTTGTCCACTACCAACAGGGAAGTCTGATCTCCACTCTTCCTGATCATCTCCACCACGCTGTCATGACTGAGGGATTCCACAGACTCGCCGTTGACAGCAATTAGCAGGTCATTGGCCTTCAAGCCAGCCTCCTCTGCTGGACTTCCAGAATCTATGTCTTTGATGAATTGACCTAACC